GATTTTAATTGGGTCGAAAAGTAATATTCTAATTTTCCAGTCTCAACTTGCTATAAATTGAGACTTAGTCAAACAATGAAGATGCCACAAATTGCAATAATTGTCCGTTCAACTTTTAAATACAACGGGATTTATTATTCGATGTAGAAACTGAGAAATTGTTCATTCAAAACTTCAACTGAAATACATTTAGATTAATTTCATATAAATACAATTTTAATACTAATATAATTGTAAAAATTTATTAATTATAAATAATTCTTAGATAGCATAAAAGAAAATTTAGATAATAAATTTGTAATAAAATAAACAAATCGATAAAGATAAAAAGATCCGTATTATCAATATAGTAAAAATTGATATGATATCAAAAAATAATACCATTATCTTTAATATTTTTTATAATATATAGTTTGATGAATTCATGCTTATAAACTCTATATAAGTGTATGTATCGATGTAAGAACAATATTATTTATATTCTAAACGTTCATTCATATTTTTATACACATTTATGTACAGCCGTAGGTACGAACGTGGATGTGTGTGTGCGCGCGCATGTGCATATGTAATTGATTTATTCACTTAATTTTTCTTTAATTAAAATAGTAATTTTCGTCTTAAAAATTATGTAACGATCGAGCCGCACAAGCTACAGCAACAGCAGGTTAGGTAGTCCAACGGATAACGGAAAAAAAAATTAGGTTAGCTGCAGAAGAAAGAGAGAGCAGCATAATATCACAAAGTAACATAACTGCTTATATCAATTTTTCTGTAGATTCCTCTACTAAACATGAAAAGAACATATTAAATACATAATAAACATGTGTACTAACATGTGTATTTCAATACACGCGCGTTCATGAAACTTTGAAATTTGTGCGTGTGCGCGCGCGCGCGCGCGTGCCTGTTTACATCTGCAGCAAATGCACATAGGCAAGAATACATTTGTAATTTCATTATTCAACTATTTGGAATATTGAAAATTTTTAATCGATCGATATTTTATCATTGTACAATGAATGACGTATATCGATAAATCTGCTTTACCTTAAAATGTCGTAAGAAATGCCTCGTTAAAGTTAAATTATTCAAATGATTATTGCTTGGCATTGTCAATATTCTCGAAGCATTAACAAATTTTCTTTACCCGAAATTTTGTTTTCTGCAGATAACCGTATACAAAACAGTACACGATAGAATAACTGTTGATTTATACTTTTTGCAGATATTTAACGTTATGATTGATGACTCTTCCGTGACTTCGATCCACTCGAGTTTCCCATAAAATTGCTGATTGACAGCTTAAGGCCCCTCTCCTATCCCACGATAAAACATTCAGATAGAATAACCATCAGAGGTCGAAGCTGGTACATTGATACGTTGTTTTTTGCTGCTACACTGATATTGTCATTTTATTTCATTTTTTTCCTATTCACTTCTAGGTCAAATGATTTTCATTAAATTAATTATTTCGGGACGGATGCACCTCATCCAAATGCCACTTGTAATGCAATTATAAATCACCCTCGGACTTCTTACGCTTCTAATTATCTTTTTCCTTTAAAATTATTACTCTAGTCTTGCCCTAAACATTATCATTCACTTTTATAAATATCAATCTCATTCAGCATAGTCATACCACTGTCTCTATGTTGTTGTTTTTTTTTTCATCCTATTTTCTTCGTATTTAGGTTTCCGTGTCTCCATATTTATATGTTTGGCTATGCATTAAAAATATGTTAAATTGATGAAAATTCAGTTTGTATGGTTGGAAACATTGTGTCGTAAAATTTTCGTACCACCACCAAGATCGTAAAAACATAGTTTAATATAACGACTGCAATTTGAATGCCAATTTGCAGGATTTTAGAATTTTCTCAACGTGGTTCAACATGTATTATATGCCAAATTAAAATCAAAGTCAAATTAAAGGGTTAAATCTATTTTCATTCCGTCTGATTTAATATAATAAAAGCAAATTTTTCATTCCATTTAACTGATTAATTGTCTGATTTTAATTGCTATTTTATATTATAAATAGGATATATAGAAACAAATATATATTTCACTATTTTTATTACTAGCGTTAACAATCTAAATTGGGATGTGCGTTATGAAAGATTAAAAATCGAATTAATACGTTGGATCGAGTTTGCTGCTTGTGATTCCTATTAAATGATTTAGTAATCGTATTAAATTTACAAAATACAAAAGAAAAATATCCTATTAATGTAGAATTATAACTAATTAGAGCATATATTGTATATATATATATATATATATTTTTTTTTTTTAAATAGCCTTCCATTAAGAAACAATATAAAAAAGTCTTATTTTTATATAATATCGTTAAAATGTTCCATGATATATTATAGATAAGTTAAACAAATTTTAAATAAAATTTTTACAATTGCTTTATTATCTAAATATTAACAATAAATAATTTAATTTATTTATGCATCCAAGATTTATTTGTATTTCCTTAAATATATTAAATTATTAAATGGTATTAATATGCGTGTATGTGGGTGAGCCTGCGTGTGTGTAAATATAAGAAAGAAAAATATAACATAATTTTAAGATATATGCAATAGAAATTTATGTTATTGTGGAGCACTTCCGATAATAGGTAACAACTTTCTCCAAAACTTTCCCAGCTTTCCCATGTGAAGGGTAAGAGGTAACATTTCTCATTTGTCTTGAAATTTGTATCATCTTAGATCTTTGAGACATAATTGAACGCGAATGATACAATATACCTTAGCTCTGTCAGATGTCTTGCTTCGTCAAATCGTCAAATAATAAAATGTTAATAAATAATGAACTCTCGTCAGTTATTAACATTATTAGCTATTATTAACATTAGTTAATAAATATGTTTATTGACTTAATTTCATAATACAGTCACTTGTGCTTTATGAAAACAAATCAACAAAGGGGTGATAAAGGAAATACAATGTTGTAAAAGTAAAAGATAATTTTTATTCGATAAAAATAATATCGTTTGTATAAAGATTGTAAAATCGATTGAGAATTAAAAGTATTCTAGATAATTCGTATAAATAACTAAAGAGGAGCATTACGATACATAGAGGTTAATAAACGAACAAAAAAACAAAACAAAACAAAACAAAACAAAAAAGATATAAAAGAAAAATCACAATTAACCCTTTGTCTATTAATTAGCATTTTTCGATGACAAAAATTTATTATAAATATTGTCCTTATAAACAAAGCTCAGTCTTGCGCATCGTGGTACTCGCGGTCTCTTAAGTAAAAATCAGGACGAAAAATTAAAATTACATCATCATCGCTTTAATAAGTGAGCTAATACCGCGATACAATGCAACGACATTGTCCTTAAAAATGATAAATTTATAAATTATATTTTCTTTTCTTTTTCTTTTTCTTTTTCTTTTTCTTTTTCTTTTTTTTCTTAAACTCCCTCAGCGTAACAATTATTAACTCGCTCTAATCGATCACGCTCCTATTCACAATTCTAGCAGCACGATATTTAGGAGGCCATTTACGTGCAATCAACGTTCTATTGCGCTATCCTAATTATTAATTTCATTGTTACGATGAATAGCATTTCACATACCTCTGGAATGCAACAAAGTGTTAACGAAAAGCGGCAATGCTACAGAGTTATAAACTCCAGTGAAACTTTGATTTAGCTCGCGATCACAGCATTTTGTTGTTGTTGTTGTTCGTTTTTTTAGTCACCCTCTATCGCAGCATATAGGACGTAACTAAGTGCGTACGGTTGAATTGCTCTTCTGTCACGTGAGAGGAGCGCAGAGTCGTAACATTTTACGAACTTGATTGCAACTCGTGCGCACGCGTACCACTTGTATGCGAGATTCAATGTACGGCAGGAAGAAAAGCCAAAGGAATATAGATACAGAGGCAGTGAGTGAAATAAAGAAATAAAGAAAGCGAGTAAGATAGAGGCAAACAGAGATGATAGTCTTTTACGTTGACGAACGTCGGGGCTACGCATTCTCTCACTTTTTTTTTTCTTTTCTTTTTTTCGTTTTATAGTCTCTCCAAAGTTACATTTTCTATAATATTTTTTACCTTTCTGAACTAAATAGTTGATTACATTCCTAGAAACTTTGCTCGATTATCCAATGGAAAAAGACGCGTTGGCGACTAGGTGACATAAATAATTATCAATAATTGGAAGAAAAAGTTTTTCACATGGCAGAGATAAATGATATTGGATGAGAGTACGGGAGAATTTTAATTAATTTGATGTACAATACACCGATGCTTATAAATAACAAGATTTTCAATAGTATGCGAAACTATTTCTTAACGTTTAATTTACTAAACCAAACTGTACAGTTATTTCGTAATGTGAGCATTTTACAATTTCAACTGTTCTCGATAACATTGAATTTTTTTCTTGAAAAAAAAAAAAAAAAAAAAAAAGAATTATTTGTTCTAATTTACTGTGTTTTATTTGAAAATTCTTCAAAAACTTTGAAATTAAATATCCTCTTGATAAATTTAAGTTGCAATTTTAACGTTAAATATTATATCGACGAATGGACTTTTTTTTCTTTTTTTTTTTTGATATTTATTTTAAAATCCTTACTATCGACTGCTTTCGACATATTTAATAACCCAACGTATATCAATCGATAATTTTCACAAGCATTAAATATGACTTATAATTTTAATTATTTTGAGCCTCTGGATTTTGCATAATTTGACAGTTGAAAGGGTTTAAACTTTTGTCTTATACGAGACATTGATCTACCATAATAAAACCTTTTGAAAATATATCATCTATTTATCGTATGTGTCAATACCAATCACACGTTTACGTGTATAAATTAATTTTTGTTAGGACTTTAATAATTGCCTACGCGATAATCGATTGCATTGTAGTATCAATAAATCTTAAATCGATGCGTCTCCTCCCCCCCCCCACCGCCCCCATCGCTCCATGGAAATAATATTTTATTTTAATTACTCTTGAATTCCAGATGAGTTGTAATTGTCCACTAACGTCGACCGTCGGTCCCACATTGGCATCGACATGCGGTGGACCTTCGTTCATGTTATTTATGGGCCTCCTCGAAGTATTTCTCCGAAGTCAATGCGATCTCGAAGACCCGTGCAACCGACCTATTCCGCAAAAACGTGTCAATTCCAGGTTTGTTATTACAATAATCATTATTCTAATGCTTAAAAATGTCTAATTATTAATTATTGTAATGAGAATTGTTTTTTTATATTCTATATATATATATATATATATATATATATATTATTCTCGTCAAAGTAGTTATAGTTGATCTAAACAGAAATATTAAATGGAAATCTTTTGCATTACTTAAATGCTACTTTTAAGAGAACTAACCTTCTTATAAGAGTCCTTGATACCATTAGTTTAACGGATTTTATTATTCTTTCTAAAAATATAGTAGGCTATAGAATTACAGCACGCAATAATAATTATAACAGGTCTAGTAACTGCGAAATTAGTAAATAGCTCTCTTTTTTAATTTACTTATTTGTATCTTAAGTATCTTGCCGGCTGAGCTGCATTAAATAACATTTAACTTGTCTATTTTAAACAAAATAGTTACCTTCTAATTACTAAAATACAACTTCAGCAAGGATTATATATATTTGACGAGTAACCATTTCGAACATAAATCATATCAATTAAGATTCAACCATTTACTCGTTAAAAGAAAAAAACACCATCGTGACTTTCTTGAATCGTTTGATACATCTGACTCGATGTATAAAGTACGAATAAATCAAAAAGATTTATATTTACATTTAAAAGACATTTATATTTCTGCTCAAACATTTGTTCCTCGTTATTAAAGACATTTTACAGCATTTACGCATTTACACGAACTATCAGCATGATAATAAAACATTAGACAACAATGTATAGATCTATTTAATCTTGAGAGAGGAAGAGAGAGAGAGAGAGAGCGTTAGAGAGAGAGAGAGAGAGAGAGAGAGAGAGAAAAAGGACTAATTATGCGTCATAAGAAAACGGTCGTGCAATTGAAGCTAATTAAATTAATTATCGTAACAAACCAATCGACCAAAGATTTTTTGTCACTCTTCAAAGGAGCGATCGATTAATCAATAAAGAAAAGGTCGCTCGCGGATACCCGTGACGCGAAAATAAGATATCCACGAGCGATTATTCTCCATCTTGAGCTCGACACCTGGACGACGTATTCTGCGATATACGAGAAATATATCACGTGATCGTGTCGAAAGATACACTCTTTTACTGATATACGCGACACAATAGCGCTTTCTCCTAATTCATAGGGACATCGTATACCGCCCCCCCCCCACTCGCCAGCCACCACCGCCACCACCACCCGGCGCTCATAAAAAATCCATGACACGAAGAATAATTCAGAGCGCTTTTGCCCGTACCTATTAGAATACACAATCACGCGGACGAAGACAAAAATATGACGAGTCATGTAAATGCTCTTTGCCAACGGGGGATGCGAGGCCCCATGGTGATTATCGCTTTGACTTCTGATTCTAACGTCATTCGTCGTTTTTCACCAGCCTTTCTATCATTACACACGTGTCTCTGTGTGCGTGTATGGCAGGTGATTTATGAAATTGTTTTACGGTCTATTATGATCGTGTGTGCGCTCAGCGTGTTATTATTCAGGCGTTTTGGGCTTTCTCCATGAGGAAGGGCGTAATGTTAGAGAGAAAAAAAAAACGAGGACGTTATATGGGTACATCATAAAGGTTTATACATAATAGTGTACACGCACGTGTTCTTATCTCAAATGGCTTAACGGTCACAGTAGTTAGTACATGATGCGGTACATAAAATGATGCACTGTAGTTATTCTTATCTTTCAAGTTTTATCATTTATTTAAAGCTTGGATCAATATGCAGTCAATGCTTTTGTATATTTTCACAATAAACATTCATCATTAAAATAATTCCTAACTCTATATCTCTTCCCCCCCCCCTCTCTCTCTCTCTCTCTCTCTCTATATATATATATATATATCACTCTATCTATCTATCTCTCCATCCCTGTCTTGTATGCGTATGTAGAGCTTTTCTTTCTCATTTCAAATCACATATTTTCATTTAGAAATATCAAAATTTGCTCGATAATGCCACTGATAAATAACGTTTTATTTCAAAATGATCCGACGATAATCCTGTCAAAATAGCAAATACCTTTATTCAACGATATTTTACAGTCCGTTGGAAAGTAGTTAGTAATAAAATCGACTTTAAAGAAATTACATAAAAAATAATTTGTATTTATATATAAAGACAATACGCGTATTATTAATTTATCCATATATTATCATACAGTCAAAGTAAAATCATAATAAAAATATTCATGAATTACTTTTATTGACATACTATATCGATAAATAGCATAAAAATACGTGCACTAAGAGAGAAAGACAGAGAGGATTTAATCAATATTTATTTTTTAAAACATAATATTTTATGTAGAAACGTTATTACTAAAAACTAAAATATACTAAAGAATTATTCTGTAGAAAATATTTTACTACTGTATGGTTGTAAACTCAAAATTAAGAAAACTATAATGAAGAGCTTAAAAATAAATATTTTCATATAAATTGTATATTATATTAAGTTTGTTTTATATTAGTTTTTTTTTTTTATAGATTCAATTTTCTCCTTTTTCATTTCTCAACAAAATTATTTATATCTAATTTATTACGCAATTATATGTCTGAATTATTCGTCCTATGAATGGAAAATAAAGGCTTATTAACTTTGAAAGAGTAAATTCATTAATATGTAAGTGGTAATATTTCATGTTTAACAAATACCTAATAATCTTCCAATAATATCAAATGTTAATTTACTAATATAATTTCAAAATATTATAACCGACTTAAATTTCAATGGAATATTAGATAATAACATATTGATTACTCCATATGTTACTATTATATTAATATAATTAAGTATAGCGATTAATAAATTTATAATTTCTAGATAATTTGTCTTCTATTATATTGTAGTAATATTTATAGTAAGAAAATGTTCGTAAGACAAATTCAATTCCTTCAATTTAACTATTCAAATAATTTAATAAAAGGTGGATAAGTGTTAGCATTGTTCTAACTTCTTAATTACATTGTGCTAAATGATGAAGGATTCTACCGAGGTGCTGGTTTAATTATCTCTAGTAATAAAATAATTTTCGTACACACACATATATATATATATATATATATATATATATAAAGGTGAGCATGATATTTTATATAAATTATTATTATTTATAGCATGAGTATTGCGTATACTAAAAAAATCATAATTATTCGTCAATGGGTAGGTAATGGATGTAATAATGGCTTACCCTTTGAGACTATTTATTAAATGTTATTAAACTCTATCTATTTTTCAGTAAATTTAGATCATTATATCATTGTATTATAAGTAATTTATCAAAGAAAATTTATAATACTAGTAATATTTCAAATTTACATAAAAAAAAATCAATAAAATTATACATGAAATAATTCTTTAAACTATATTATTTAGTGATATACTCAAATGCGCAAACACGAGCGCGCGCGCACAACAGGCACAAATATATATAGAAACATATATACATACATACATGCATTTATATCACCATGAGCTATTAGACAATCCAATCTCCAAACTCCTTTCTCTTATCTCATCGACTGTATTACTTTAACATCTAACTTTTCTTTTCTTGCCCAGAACACAATGTGTCATAATCATAAATTATTCTACTAATATGTAGTAGTGATGCTTTAAATACTTTTACAATGAAAATTTATTATAAATGTATATAAATATTGTCAAACGTAAAAATATAAAATGCTGATTTTATAATACGAATTATAATTGAATATATTACTAATTACGCCTGGCAAGCCACGAATATTCTGATTTCATTATGTACTAACTCATCTAATATTTCGCTAATAAAAATAGTTTCGCATACATTGTGTATATACTTTACAAAATTATTAAACCTTTCTGACATAATGTTTCTATTTTTTGCCAAAGTAATCATTAATTAGTTATTTTCGTAATTATAAATTGTGAAATTTAAAATAGAAACACTAAGTATTGGTACTATATACTAATAAATGGTAACGATATTTTAATTTTGTTAATAGCTAAGCTATTTTCAAAGATTACCTTACATTATTACTATTATCATTATTATCATTACGATTATTATTATTGTTGTTGTTGTTATTGTTGTTGTTATTTTTATTGTTATTGTTATTGCACCATAATAATTGATAATTGTAAGATTTATTAGACATGAAAAAATTCTCACGTGCCACTTTACGCGATTGAAGTTACAATATATTTTACCTTCATTATTACATAAAAAATACTATGTTATTAACCAATGAGTTAAAAGACAAAGTTTTAAACACCATAATATTATTATTTGTGTACTATAAATGTAAGGGAGAAACGAATAATAAGAGAATGTATATTTATAATGTTAATATAATTTAAGATAAACATTTAATAATATATAAAAATAATTACGATAAAATTATTATGATGATTTTTATATCAATTGCATTTGAAAATAAATACACAAACAACAAAATCCAATTATAATAATTTGTATTATTATAGCTTAATTGAGAATAAAAAAGAGCAATTTATTCTTATCTAAAAGTTTCATTCCATTAATTATAATGATCGTGATATATAATAAAATCGATAAATAATTGTTGTTATTAATACAAAAAATTTTGTGTTTATTGTTATAGCATTTAGAAATCTACTGATAGAAAATCGCTTTATATAAGCATTCATGAAAATTGACATTAAATGGATTATTTCAGATAAATTAAATTAATTACATTTTCTTTGAAGATCAAATTAATAAAGCTTGGATATTATTATAATTATGTATTCGATACATTAGCTGTTTGACATAAAATTTATCTTATTACTATTTGGTAGTTTTAAACCCAATGCAATTAATCAAAATATGGATGGATTAAAGTTTGAAAAAAATATTGAAAATCTACACGCGCTCAGAGAAAAATTACCATCGATTAATGTTAGTATGCAATAGAAAACTAATTTCCTAATGACAAAATTAGTTTGTCATTGGCATATATATATATATATATATATATATATATATATATATATATATATATATATCGACATGAAACAATATTACTTATGAGCGTTAGTCGTAAAGATACTATTTCAAAGATTCATTGTATCTCCATTGTGTTGTATTTCATAATACGAATATATTCGATAATGTACTTGGAGGCCCATACCTTGAAAAGTGCTTACACTTACTTCTTAGCGCGTTCTATAAAATGATAAATGACTTGGAGATAGGATATCAACTATGTCGGACATTTTTTTTATCAATCAAATTATAATAAGTAAAAGCATGGGTCCTAATTGAAACAAATCTCATTTATTTGACAGACAAATTGCCCAACCACGAAATAGTGAGTGAGTGAGAGAGAGAGTGAGAGAGAGAGAGAGAGAGAGAGAGAGAGAGTGAAAAGAAAAATAGCATCCTAATGGATGTTAAATATAGAGAGTGCAATAGCAGAACGTTACAATGCCGCATTACACAGCAAGAAGCTAATACGTAAAGATGAGCTACGCTCGAGCAAAAATTACCAAACAATCGACTAGAGCATACGATAGAATTCTGGGCGGACGCCTTACATACGTGAAAGATCCTTTTAACAATCAGCGTAGGCCGTAGCGTAGAAAGTGATTTTGCCTCTCGTCCCCTCCCCCACCCCGCCCCACCACAGCCACTGCTCCCTCCCGCAGGCGAAGCGAAACAAAATTACGTCAAAATCCCGAACTCCACAACAAGACATAATTCGCCCCATCTCTTTCTCTTGCTCGGGAACGACTGAGAACGGCACCTTTCGCCGCAACAAGCGGCCCAATCGCTATATGCTCACGGCTCTCCATAACGCTCCGCTAACCCACTTAAAGTACGCCCAGAGATAATAATTATCCGTTAGATGGAGAACGGTGCATTGTGCACACGCTCGCGATGCGAGGCTAATGCGAGCGATCCTGATTATCGAATTTATTTGTCGGTCCAAACTAAGATGTGGTGGGTTGCGTGGATTATGCCTCCGGTTAGCCAGGCCAGAGATTTACGCAGGCGGTCGTTCCACGCGGCCCGATTTATCGTTTGTCATTGGTAAAATTTTAGTGCCAGTGGGAAAAGTGATTTGGACCGCGATTGACGATTATAGCTCAATGTCGTAACTGCACATAAATTTTGAGGCTGAGAATTGCCGATTACGATCTCATACGTCTCCGACGACCAATCGGATTAGGATCGTTATCTATCTAGAAAATCGGCTTTAAACTTTGTTTAAAATAATTGATTAAATTATAGAGTGAGGCGCAAGTGTAAATTGCGGCATAGCTTATCGTGTCATTTGAAATGGAAATTACAATAATATCCCCGGCATTTCTAAATCATTGCTCAACTATATCGATAATGGTCTTTCAAATATATCGATGTACGAACGTTCGTGAAAAATTATTAAATTTATAATTATTAAGGGTTGATTTTAGTGATCGTTTACATTGTAATATTGTAGTAGTAAGCAAAGTAAATGCAGCAGCGAGCGAATGAAATTCACTGACTATTATACAATACATTTTCTCGTCGATAAATTATATTTCGTGCCAATATTAAATATCATATATATATATATATATATATATATATATATGTATATATAGAAATATGTTATGGTAAAATTCTAGTTGTCAAAGTTTGAGAATTGAAAATCTACCACAGATATTGCAAATTTATCGATTAGTCTTTTATATCTACACTATTTTAAGTTAATCTCAACGGGCGCGCAAATGGAAAGTCTTTGAATAATATCAATAATTTTGAATAATTTTTCAATAAATTTCTAATAATTCTAGGACAATGTACTTTCTAAAAGGATGTAAATCAGGTAAACATTAATAAATGCGCTAATTTATTTGAAAATTTTGATGTACGTTTCTTGCACGCCTAACGCATAATTGAACAAGTACTTACAAAATCATATGACAATTATTGAGATGCATTGATATAAATTAATTATAATTTGTTTTTAATGAAAACTTATAAACACTAACAGCACTTATCGACTCACTAAATAGCTTTGCTACTTTTTGTGAAAATAAAATACTAACGCTGTAATTAAAATAATCACTGGCATTCGCAAAAAGCAATTTATTTTCATTTACATCAAGTTCAACTACTATGATATTTTTTACGTCAAATCTATCAGCCTACATTTGATATTGCCAATAAAAAAATTTTTTTTTATTCATGAAATCAGGCATTTATTTTTCATAAAAATAATTTTTAAAAATATACAAGACAATAACTGTAAAAATGCCTTTATGAAAATTGAAAGTAATATCGTGATATTGTCGATAGTTCGCCTTTGAATGAGATATTTTAATATTTTAAGGAATAAAAAAATGATTTGTAATATGAAAGTAAGATTATATATATATATATATATATATATATATATATATATATATATATATATGATATTTAACATTGGCACGAAATATAATTTATCGACGAGAAAATGTATTGTATAATAGTCAGTGAATTTCATTCGCTCGCTGCTGCATTTACTTTGCTTACTACTACAATATTACAATGTAAACGATCACTAAAATCAACCCTTAATAATTATAAATTTAATAATTTTTCACGAACGTTCGTACATCGATATATTTGAAAGACCATTATCGATATAGTTGAGCAATGATTTAGAAATGCCGGGGATATTATTGTAATTTCCATTTCAATACGTATAAATTTAACGTAAATTACATTATTACACAACGTGTATATTATTACAAATACTTGTTCGTGTAATATTATTAAAAATAAATTAATTAAGTTGTATTATATTTGTCATGGTAATGCGTTAATAAATTATATAATTAAGATTAAAATATTATATTGCTATTCGACCTTTTAATGGAATTTTCACTCTTAATAAAGCATTGATTATTTCAATTGATAGACATTGTATCTACAGTTTAGATAAGTTTGTGCGATTATGTGATCCAGATAATGAGATTTTCCACTACTTTCATGCTGATTTCGGATCTCGATTACTTTTCCTTCCCATGCTTACCTACCGAGGAACTGATTGAAAATTACGTGGGGATTCCAAAGTAATTGTAACAAATTTATGATTGATTGAAATACCAAAATACGCTTATGCTTCGAGCGTATATAAGAAGTCAAACGAACAATGGGCAATATTAATTAATTAATTAATTGTAGAAGAAAATTTTAATTTAAATTTTGTAAGAATCTGTGGTTCGCTTGAAGCGCCACAGTATAATTTATTCGAATATTTTAAAAGACGTAACTACCGTTTTTCCTGCTACTATTAAGGATAAATATTATGCATACATATATATATATATATTTTTTTTTTTTTTTTTTTTTGTACTAATACTAACATTAATTAATCCTCAACTTTAAGTACTGTTTAACTAAAGTATTGTATATCTTTTTATAAACGCATGAATTGTACGTAGGCGTACAATCGATCGATCCATGCTGTGAAAAGCAGCATCGGTAACTACTTTTAAAATTGCTCTCCACTTTAGCGTTTCTTCACTTTATTGGCCCAATTATCGTTTGCTCTCATTCAATCCAAAAACACAACAAGGACAACACTTTAAAAACGCATTTTATTTTATAGCGTCGAGACGATAAATTTCATTCGCCAATGTGTATCTCGATACATCTAAGATACCTAAAATAAATCGAGGCTAAGTGAAAAGCACGGAAATCCTAAGTAAGAAAATCACTCTACAACGAGTACTTTATTCTCAGATACGACTTCGTGGTGATAGGCGGCGGTAGCGGGGGCGCAACCGTAGCCTCGAGACTCTCCGAGGAAAGCCAATTTTCCGTATTATTACTGGAAGCCGGCTTGGACGAGCCCACCGGAACTCAAATACCGTCCTTCTTTTTTAATTTCCTTGGCTCGGACATCGACTGGAAATACCACACCGAGAGCGAGGACGAGGCCTGTCTTAATAACGATCGCAAGTGCTACTGGCCCAGGGGAAAGGTTTCTCAATTTTCACTTCAATATCGTATTACAGTACATTATAAATGAAGAGAGTCTGGTGTATGTGGTAAAGCGTCGTAACGTAAATGTTTCTTTAAATTGTTCGTCGATACCAGGTTCGAATACATTGGTGGACATGTAATTTTCAACGTGCCATCTTAACGTAAATTTAATCTTTAATATTATTTATAATTATTATATTATTATATTAATATAATAACTTGGTCGCTTAATATACAGTTATCGTTATCGCGAAATGAAAAAGGCTCATTTAATACACTGCTAATACTGCAAAATGATGGGACATTATCCGTACGTTCGTATTCTGTATTTAAAAATTAATGTGAAATATTGATAGAGTATTCGTTTACCTTTTCGTGACAAACTTTTAGCCTTTCATTAAATCCAGGTCCTTTAAATGCATCTCATTGAATAGCTTCAAAGGCGAACGAATGCACATGATGACACGATTTAGTTAATAGTAAGTAGATGCTTTTGATATATGAGCTCCGGTGGCTCTTTTTCTCCCCGGCAACCTATCGAAGCGTCAATAATTTAAGCGAGGAGAGAAAGGTTAAGAAGAAGAAAAAACAAATGAAAGAAGGAAAAATATTTATCTGCAATACTCGCAAAGGTCTCACGGCTGTAAAAGAAAGCCGTCGTCGGGACAATGTCTAAAGGCATTATTCGGTGAATTGCGTGCGTCGGCCTCGAACGGCGCGTCATTCCCTCGCGAGAGTCGCCCTGCGCGAAATAATTGGCTAATAAAGCAAAACGTACGTCAGGTGCTGGGCGGTACCTCGGTAATGAATGGCATGACATACATGAGGGGATCTCGTAAGGATTACGACGATTGGGCCAGGATGGGTAATCAAGGCTGGTCCTACGATGAAGTACTGCCCTACTTCATCAAAAGCGAGGACAATCTCCAGGTCAGTGACATGGATTACGGCTATCACGGGGTTGGAGGACCTCTCACCGTTACCCAATTCCCTTATCATCCACCGCTGAGCCATGCCCTGCTGCAGGCAGGCAAGGAAATGGGTAAGAGACAATCGTGGGACTCAATTTAACTGCGAATTTTAATGGCCTAGAGTTTACAATTGAGCCGTCAATTGCGAATAAAAAGGTGAAAATGACCCGCCGGTTTACGCGTAAATGCTGGCTCCGTAAGTTTCCTATCTATTCTTCAATGTTATTTTATTATTATTGACCTGCCAGCTATTATTTATAGCTCATTATATAAGCTGTCGTTCGCGGTGAATTTTAATAAGAAGAGTAATAAATCGAGATTGATAGAGGCGGTTGTGACAATGTTGATTGTTCGCGTTCAATGTAAAGATGCAATGAAGCGTGTTACTCAAGCGCGTAAATGCATTTTAATTTGAAGCGGAGAAATAAACTGCTCTCTCAAGAGTAACTGTAACTCTCAAAATATCGCGCATAGGTATAATAATTTTATTCGCAAATAGATTTTGATCAATTGATGTCGTGCGATTATCGATAATCTGCATTATCTATAAACTTTTTCCACGATCGTACACGTAAGACTTATGCGCCCCATTGATCCGTTCAAGTCGGGCAATTGTATCGCTAGTTTGTTTTATTAAACTTTAATTCATATTCTTACTATTTCCTCCTATCTAAGGAATACATAAATATTTAGGAATATTTCGAAAGTAATCATCTATAATATGATAATGTTAGACATTTTTTTTTCCCCCTTTTTTTTTTTTTTTTTTTTTTTTTTTTTTTTTTTTTTTTTTATCAATCCTAAGATTCATACTTTATGAAATTTTATTACTTACAAGGGACGTGCGTATGCGCGCATGTATAATCGTTAGAAATATTAAACATATTTCGAGCTCGTGATATTCGTAAAGGGTAAAACAAATTTAACGACTAACAAATAGCATAAAAAGCAAAATTCACGAATATTTTAATATTTCTAAAATATCTAATAGAATATCGATTACATTTTAAAATGCCCAAAAAGTGATAAGATTTTATTTTACTTAATACACATGAAGTATTTTCGAATAGAATTTTACATTACTGAAATATGATTTTATTCAATCTATAAAAGAGATAAAATGAATTTACTAAAATATATTTCCAATTCATTTTCAATTGCAAAATCAACTATTTAATAATGGCCTTTAATAACGAAAAAATGTATAAATCTTTTACCGCACGACTGAAATTTTAGTAATTGAAGAGGTAAAACTGAATGTTCGTTAAATCACTGTGGAAAACGTTTATAAATTAATCAAAATCAATTCGCTTCTTTTGACTATCTCTATCCGTTCCTCGGAGTTCTAATTTTCTTTTGGGATGGTGGGAGGCGGAGGAGGGGAGGGGTGGGAGGGGGAGGGGGGGTGCAAGAGAAAGAGGCACGACTAGTTTTCTATAAAGGTCCAATATTCATGCAATATATCCCATAAAACTGAACAACCTCAATTCATTTACCCCCGAATTCAGGTTACTCGACGGTGGATCTAAACGGTCGATCGCACACGGGTTTCGCGATCGCCCAAACAACATCGCGTAACGGCTCGCGGCTCTCCACCTCCCGGGCGTTCCTACGACCAGCCCGTAACAGGCGCAACCTCCACATAATGCTCAACTCCACGGCTACGAGGATCCTCTTCGATAGGAGCAAGAAGGCTGTGGGCGTCGAGTTCGTCCATGATGGGGAGCTCCATCGCGTGTCGGTCGACAAGGAAGTCATCATCAGTGGAGGTAATCCGATGATTTCATGAATAATCACCAATCATAATAATCCATTGACTTCCGAAATATTAGAACATTGGCATTATCGAGCTACTGAATTTGAAAATTTACAAATGAAATTGCCGCACGACCAGGACATTCTAAACCGCGAAAATTCGTGAGAAAATGGCTTATCTTGACTCGCGAGCTTTATCATGGTCCCACCACTTTCTTGTAGTATTTTAGAAAATTTAACGGAATTTTTTTTGTGCTGAGGAGAGCAACGATAGGATCACTGACAAAAAACGTTGTAAATGCTGCTTTTCAATGGTTGTTGTCAAGTTGGAAAGTATCCAAGAACTGAGAGAAGGAAATGTAATTTAATGTTAAAAGTGGTTCTTTAGTTGGCTAATAGTTTGGAAAATTCCTAAAATGACATTTTTATTAAACAGTAGAGGAATAGTAACCTACATTTTACAAATTTTAAATACTTTTTAAAGTCTAAATTTGTATTTCATGCATTAATATTAATCACCCTTAAAATCATGATTATATCGAACTCATAATATGTACTTGGAACCAACCGAAATAAGTGGAATTTATTTATTTTTTTTTTTTTGTTTTTTTTTTTACAATTCATTAGTTTTATTTTCATGCCTCTACTATTTTATAAATCAATAATTCCATAGCAAATTATATTCCGACAATAATACCTAAATTTACGATTTTTTATCGTATATTCGGCAATTCTTTGCTGATATATTATTATGGAGAATTTCGGAAAAACTTAATAATGCATTAATTTAATTTTCGAATTGAGGATAATAATGTAATGATTATAAATAAGGAAATATCAAATTATTTACTTTTAATATGAACGATAAACGTTCAATTAAGATTATTTTAATATTCATAAATTAACGCTAAATTAATTTTTTTAAATCCACGCGTTTTGTCCCACAGCATTTACATTTACGTGTATAGAAGTGGACATAACTAATCTTTCATACTTGACAATTATCACATCAATTTTCATTTATCAACAACTGTGTTCGCATAAAAATTTCTTTCCATACTATAAAAATAAGCTATAGTAAAATCACAATCAAAAATGCCAAATGCAATAATAACAAATATTGAGATTTATCGTGAAATAATAAATATAAGCCTTTGTTATTGTTTGTTCTATTGTAAAATACGCTTCATATGTACGCGTAATGTAAAAATAAAGTTTCGGCTAATTCAAAAAGCATATATTATAAGAGAGACAAAATTTTGTCGAAATTAATAATAATTAGTAATATATTAATTAGAACGTTATATTGATCTAGCGACTTGATGATGAGATACATTGCAAAAAAATAGCTATAAAATTGGAACGTAATTTTGAAAAATATTGTCTGAAAAAACAAAGAAGGAATGACCGAAAATGAAAAAATATTACGTTTTAAACGTTCGCCACCCCCGCCACCCATCCCCCCCAAACCCCCGCCCCATCCCTAAGATCCAATGTAATGTTATAAAAATTGTTCAAATTTCCAGTTAAAAGTCAGACAAAACAGAAAAAAAAATGTAGCTACTTAAAGCACCAGACGACGTAACCGAGCTATAACCACGTTAATCTTACTCGCCTCGCGTAGCCTTCGAGTTCCGCATGGCGTTTCAAAGATAAACGAAAATTGTAAGAGGGCGAAAATTATGCGAACTTAACAGGAAAAAAATTGCCCAGGTGCGGTGAACTCTCCGCAAATATTGTTGAACAGCGGCGTGGGACCGCGGGAAGACCTCGAAGCGGTCGGGGTCCCGGTTATCCACGATCTCCCAGGCGTCGGCCAGAATCTGCACAATCATGTGGCCTACGCTATGACCTTCACCATCAACGACACCGACACCACACCACTCAATTGGGCCACTGCCATGGAGTACTTACTGTTCAGGGACGGCCTCATGTCCGGCACCGGTAAGTCTATGCACGACCCTCTACTCCTCCTTCTGCCATTACATTCATTATATTTTAAATATATTGCGATGGCTGGAAAGCTGCACATCAACATCTATCGAGGATGAGCCCGACGAACATATAGTATTCCGTATCGAGTAATTACAGACATAAGGTACTTTAAAGCATGCACGCATGCATTCGTGAAATTCGAGAAAATTACAATGTACCGATAGTATTATCTCCTGCTCGGTGGGATCCCCCTGGCACTTATTTCATGCTAACTAACTATTGATTAGCGCGCTGATGTCGCAGTTTTCGGATTCACGAGTATCTACGGATTTAATAATCATTGTTCGTTAATGATTGATTAATATCGACTGTAAGCTTAAAAGCTTTTATTAGAAACATCGAGGGAACGTGGAGGGAACATCGAGTGAATTAGTATAAATTTTGGCTATGCTACCTTCCTAGAACTCCCCCCCCCACATCCCCATCCCGCCCCACCTTCTTTCTACCACTCGATTTCACTATCCTGCTTTCTCTCCCTTCATTTAATAAAGCATTCGTATATAACGTTCTCTTCGATGCTGATCTTCGACAGAAGTCTCTATTGCAATAGTATCTAAATCACATAAATAGCAATAAATTTGTAACAACTTAATTGAACGTTAGCAATTCAATTTATGATACAGTGAGTAGAAATATCAGAGTGAGTAATTGGATATATAAGATTATTATAGCTTTAACCATTTGGGAATTACTACGGATTGAAAACAATGACCAAAAAATGCTCCAAAAAAGATTAATATTCTTGGAATAATTATGAATTATTTTTTCTTTTTTTTAAAGCAAAATAGACAATAATATCAACGTTTAGAACAAAACTATCGTTCATTATTATGGTGAATTTGGAACATTTCATCGCTCTTCGATGATTAAAAAAATCAATTATTAATCTTTAAGCAATTGTCACCTCCATTATGATAATTATATATTTAATCTCATAGAATTTAATTATAAAATTAAATACAACGAACTGAATATGTTTAGCATTAGGAATAACCAAAGTGTAATTCTTAGGACTGAAAACAAGAATAGAAAAAGGCATTAAACTATAAACGTAAAAAACAATAATAATGCGAATAATACTCATAAAACGTCCATACGTAGAAATTCGATCAGAAACGTTTCCCACGATAGGTTCAATCTAAAATGAGATAAAAAGCTTTGCAGGGAACTCTAGTGGTCTACTTAATAGATATAGAAGCTACTTTCATAAATTATTTACTCTTCGTGAATACGAGGATAAAATATAAAACGATGTATATCATTCTATTCGCTGTCATATATAATAGACGTTAAATAAAAGTAATTTTATTGATGAATTTAATTTATTTGAAAGTTAAATTACTAAAATATTTAAATATACTATGTTAAATATGTAAATTAATGAAGGTGAAATTTTTTATGAGTATAAACTGTTACTTAATATTATCAAGAATATTCTATTTAATCGATCATTACTGATTATACCAATGAAAATTAAAATCTTTAAAATTAATAGAAATTGACGTATTTATAACAATTTCATTCATTTTTAATATCGAGTATTGAATTTATTAAAAATTTACAAAATAACCACGACCAAAAGTACAAATTAGATGTTAGTTCACGCATGAAAACATAGGTATATGCATTTATTATGTATGAAACGAAAACTTCGTTTATTTTACCTTTTTTTCATTTGTATTACCAAATTTGATCATCTAAAACAAATAAAAACAATCGATACCTTCACTGTCAGTAATAAAAAATTAATGTACAATTAGTAATAACTGTGATTTATATTACGTATTTATATTATTCTAATCTCATGGTCTTTACAAATATCAATTTAAATGACCACATAATAAAAAGCAATATGAATAATATAAAGAGAAAAAATATTTTAGAAAGTAAAATAAAAAACATTATTTGTATATTTTAATCTATAATTCATTGTAGAAAAATGCATTAATAATTATTAATATTACATTATAACATTACATATATATATATATATATAAACTCTTATGAAAAATAAGTGACACTAACTATTAAATAAAATGTATAGTAATAAAGATATGTAGCAATTCTATAGAATAATTAAGTCAATGTATAATGAAACATAACATTTTTATTGAGTTTTCATAATAGATTAATTAAAACGATAATAAGATAGAATAAAATTAATGATAATAATAACATATAGTTTTAGATTAATATTAACGATAAATATTGATAAGTTAATGGTGTAATATAACATCAGAAAACTTTTATCGATAAGATATTTTTGCAATTTCATAATACCTAGTAGGTTATGTAAATAATAGTGGGAAATGAATTATTGTAAAAGAAATCATTGGAGAGAAATCTGTTGTGTCAGTGGCGTATAGTAAAAACTGAGTCCATATTTTATATTTCAATAGTTAAATAACTTAAATATAAATGTTTGCGGTTCTTATGATTCAATCACTTTTTCATATGATACTTTTTAAATCAACATTTTCACTCTTTAAAAAATCAATGATAAAATATTTATTACACTTTCTGATATTATTTGTTAATTAAATTACATAAAACAAATGACAATTTACTAATATATTTATATAATACTAATCGATTAATAAAAGAAAAGATATCTTACATCTTTTCGTTAAACTAAAAGTAGTTTGTTTTACAGATTTTTTATAAAATAATTACTAATCATATAATACGCAATTCTATGAATTAAAAACTTATAATACATAAGAATAATTGATAGACTAAATTAAACATTGAAATGTTTTATGCAAATATTACCAATCATTTTAATATTAACAGTCGTGAATAATACATCAATAATACAAAAAAAAAAAAAAAAAAAAAAAAAAAAAAAAAAAAAAAAATAATGTAAGAGCAACGAATATGTTATAACGATTGTGGACAATTCAGCTCATTGTTCGAATAATTTTTTTTTTAAATAATAGTATTATTAATAGCAAAACTTACATGAGGTTATAAAATAAACTTTTACACCATACGGCAAATATCATATTCTCTCAAAAGTATGAAAATATGTCATTTTTAATTGCAAATTTAATACTATATTATGAGAAAATAAAATTGATGCTTTAAGATTAACCGTTGTTGAAATTAACTCAATTTCGTTTAATTCCAGAAATTTATAATATATATAACTATTAGATCTTGACGTAAAAAGAGAGCTTCATAAATCTTTTCTGTATAACATAAATGACGATCTCTATCTCAATGTATAATTTATTATAAGAAATAATGTAAATATCATTTTTTAAACATACAAATGATTATTGCCGGTTATCATACCCATACAAATGAAACGAGTCGTACAGAAAATAAAAGTTGAATACTAATTAACGAACTCTTCTTCGTGAATAATAAAATAATTTTCTCATATTATACTTTGCAAATTCATAAATTAATATTGTACCCTACATTAATATATTTTTCTCATCTCGAATTAGTAAGGATATTCAAAGTAAGGATACGTAATTTTGCAATTAAATAATAAATGTAAACATCGGTCTATATAATAGGCAGTAATATAACAATTTCTTTACCGGAATATTTCGTATTAAACTATGTGTGCAATATTTGTTATTATAAAAAATTCTTTATAAAATTAGGAATTAATTAAATGAGAGAGTAAAAACAAGAAGTAATGTATTGATTAATTGTTATTATCAGATTTATTTATAACTGGTGATATTGGTTGAACATTTTTGTAAAACAAATATTGATTATATATAAAAAAATACGTACTCCAACCCTTTTTGCTCTAAACTTCACAATATTTACAATTGAATTGAAACAAAAGTTACTTACAATGATATTTATACATACATTATTAACCTACAATGTAGCGTAAAACAATGAAATTTATATGCATTTATATTCCATAGAATAAAATTTAATTACAAATATATTTATACATACATTATTAACATCCAATGTAACAGAAAATCATAATATGTATATTAATTTAAAAACTTATCGTAATATTTTATATTTTTTGCCCTAAAATTAAAGCTATAATTAGGCATTTTTTTTTATTTGAATTATCTAAAGTTTGATAATTAAATTTTTTATCTATAAATATTTGTATTTTAATTTCGAAAACATTGAATGTTGATAATGAGTTAAAAATACCGAATTATATCAATATTATGGTTGTAAAAATAAAATTCACAATAAAAAATATCGGCTTTTCTCGTAATGAAGAGTGAAATTGGAATAGAAATATATATTGAATATACATGTGTGCGCATTTCATTTTTTATAAAGCCATTAGTGGAGCACGATAGATCCGTCCTTACATACTAATTATCTAATGCTCGGAGAAAGAATGTATGAGACACTGTGACAAGAAGGATAATCTCCAAGTGGCTTAGTTCCGTATTACTTACTCTCTCGTATAAAATTTCTATCTATGTTTAAGCAGTCCTACAATAATGTTGAATTAAATAAAAATCTTATATATTGCCGATTATTAGAATTCATGTTACACATCTTTATAATCAAATCTGTTTTGATGGAAGATATTATCAGGAAAGAATAGTCTTGTCGGATGGCTGATTATCTATTAAAAGAAAAAGAAGAAAAAAATCACGTGATAAAATATATTTGAAATTTTACATAGTTTAAATCAATTTAAACTTAAAACAAAATTTTCAGAATACATTAAGTATTGTTCAAATGAAGCGTTTTGTATAAAATCATATGAAGGAGTCCTTGACGAAAGTCGACGTCACGATAAATATAAAAATGGGATGGATTGTTGATGAAAAAGAAAAAAAAAAAATACATATATACGAATAAATGATTATAATCTTTTATTAATTATTAAGTTTTAATGTACATAAGCTACCTTCAACATATTATATACATAATTAAAAGCACATTCTTTTAATTTTATTAAAGGACTTGATTTTTTTGATAACATCGTGCTCAATTCGACT